ACCTCTGTTGGATTTGTATTTGGTGGAGTTATTTGATCTCAGTTATTAAAAGCGGTGAGAGGGCATTTCCTCACTGCACTGTACTACGTTGGGATTCAGCAAGGCTTCCACCGTGTTCACACGACACGAGTGATCAACTGATGTGAGTGATCACCGTGTTCTGCACGAAAAAACACATAAAGGCGCGCATTGCTCCACCATCGTGCATGGCTTGATTCCAGAAGCCAATGTCCACCGCCGGGATGATCCAGGATGTGTCTTAAAGGGTGGAATCCCCAGGCCCAACTCAAATGACTTCGTAGCAACTCTGACCAATTGCTTCAAGCTTTGGAATTGTTCTTGGGGGGGATGTCCTTTTGACTCTTGTATACTCTTGTGCAGATGCCAAATCATAGGGCCTCAGACATCACCTGCACGATGGAACACTTATACAAACCTCTCCAAGTCCCAGATGGAAGATCTCAGAAGCTACACCCCATCACAACCTCCAACCGCGGGCCCTCAGCGGACTCGGAGCGGAGCCACAGCTCCGGTCCAGGACGTCCCAGTGGACGTGAACAGCGGAGAAGCGGCGGAGCAGCGGACAGAGCGAGGTCGGGGCAGAGACGTCAGTCTTCGGACGGCTCAGGACGGCTGAGGCAGGTTGCGGCTGGTTGAGTGGTCTCCTTCCACCCACAGGTGGCCCTTGGACTCGAACAGCTGGGCTTTTCGTTTTGGCACCTCTCAAGGACGCCGGAGACGGACCACTGGACACTTGGTCCAGCTGCTTGGGCCTAGGTGAGGCGTCGCCCGCTGTGGCACCGGTGGAGCCTGTGGAGCCGGTGGAGCCCGTGGAGCCGGTGGAGGCAGAGGTACGAACTCTGCAGATGAAATGGTGGATGTAGCAGGGAGGTGGGAAACCCTAGGGCTCCAACCATCATCTCAGGTGGTTAGACCATCCAAAACCACCCCAACATACCCCAACCACCTTTCTCAGCAGGTGCTTGGACCCCTGCGAAAAGACCATGTTCACCTGGTCTGGACTCCTTGTGTCCTTCCAACTTCCTGAGTGGACGCATAGTCGAAATGTGTTATTTCACTGGAGAGTGTGGCAGAAGTATTGTTTAACCTTTGATGTGGCGAAGGAAGGACGTCGGGGAAAAGCGCCTCCATGATCCTACATGCACAATTGCTTCTTACTTGTGTGATCATGGTTACTATTCAGTTGAACGTATTTGACGAGCATCTATGTGTCAAGTGCATGTTCCCAGACTCAAGAGGCCTCACAGGATGAAGCCAGATTGGGCCAGACCCCTAGCAATTTTGCATGAATCCTCACATGTTGCCCTCTCACAGGTGCAGGTGCTGAGTCAAGTGATTCCCAACCCATCAACCACTTACACCGGGCCTGAAAAAGGACCTTTGGAAGACGATTTCCTCTACAACCCGACGTGGTTTTCAGGTTCCATGTGAAATTTCCAGTGTGTCATAATTTGATACCACATCTCCGAGCCACCCAGCCAATCGTTTTTCAACGTCGGTGCAGTATACAGAGGCCCACTGGCGCCGGCAGGCGATAGAGGTGGGCGAGGTGATCGCTCCAAACGACAGGACGGGACCTGTGCCCTCGCTCGGTGGAGGGATGCATCCCATGAGCAGTTCTGAAGGCCTCAGGCCATGGGGCATGGCCATGGACAAAAACGTTCAAAAGATATACCTTTTTGGAGCTTGGTGGGTGTGCGCACCGGCATGGAGGCTATTTGCCAGGTGAGGGCCAAGGGTCTCTCAAGATATGTTTACAGTAGTTTTCTTTTTTATCCCACCTTTTTGTCAAGGCCTCCAACTGGACCTTGACATGTTGGTCCTTTGGAGCTATCCGCCCGAACTTGAAGTCGAACTTGAGGCCGAACTTAAAGGATGCGGTCACTTAGGCCATCTTAGGCCTCTTAAGAGGTGACTATACGATGAGGTCGCCCGGCGCCGGTGCCGAAGTGGTTTTTTGATGGTTTTTGTACGGAACGGACGCACGGAACCCGGGGCGACGGACGGGGAGGAGCACAGCGCAGTTCTCCGGTGTGGGGGCTCAGGTGAAGAGGATTGAAGTGGAATCAAAGGCATGTGACAGGAGCTTTGCATGATTGATGCAGCTATGGCTTTGCATCAGCCAGGCACCCATAGGCATCCTATAAGCCTACAATCCTAGGCTTTGAGCCAGGATATTCCATGCCCCAGTTCCTTTGACCTCCTCAGGTGCGGAGAACGATGCCATGATCACCGAGGAGCGGCGAACCGCACCGCTGAAGAAGAAGCACCCTTCGGTGCTGAAGAAGAAAAGAAATCATCCTTAGTGGTTGAATAGGGAGAACACATACTAGCTTCTTGTTACTACTAGTAACAAGTGCCTCGCTAGTAGTAACAAGTGCCTTACTACTAGTAACAAAAAGCTCTTAGAATTCAATGGTCGACCATGTGTCCGAACCTGGCGGGTCGGGACGCCGGCGCCGATGGCTGATTGAAAGACATCTCGGCTGAGAATCCCTGGCTGATGCACTTGTTACTACTAGTAAGGCACTTGTTACTAGAAGCGATGCACTTGTTCCTAGTAGCGTCCTTGCTTCTTCGACCATATGTCCATGCATGACTTAGAGAGTTTGGTCTTGTGTCGAGAAACAGCTGCCCCAGCGGGAGCCTCATGCACCGCAAAACCTAGAAAGCACTGAAGCTGTGGAGGTGGGAGTTGAGGCAGAGAACGCACACAACTCATCTGGGAACCCGAACCAGGCCTAGGAACACCCTCTTTGACTCTACTCTATTCTATTATATGTATATTAACTATATACACCTTGCATGCAATCAACGTAACATGTTCCCCGAATCCTTGACTCCATCTTTCAGCATGTCATGTCAGATTGACCACTACCTTTGCTAAATTCCTGTGAAATCAGCAGGGATGTGTTCAATTCTATACTGTACTGGCAGTTGATTGGCCATTCCTAGTTGCTGAACAACGGTCCCTATTGTTCAAAGTTCCTTTCTGTCTCAGATGCGGGGGTAAACAACATTGGCGATGATGATGATGATGATGATGATGATGATGATGATGATGATGATGA